ATATCCTCTGGCTCGTCTTTAGCAGGCGCAGCCTCGGCAGTAAAAGTTGCCACCCTCTCCTTGAGAGCCTTTTTATCAAGCAACCAGACCTTGCACTCCTCAGATAGCTTCCCCATATCTTCCTCGCCAGCTTCCGAGCATTCTCCTCGTCGCTCTGCCCCTTTTCAACCGCAGCCAGTTTGGCATGTAGCTTTTTCAATTCATCTTCTTGAGAAGGGCTCCCCTCGGTATAGGCGAAGCCATCTCCAGTATCCCCATTAGGCCCCCAGCATCCTACGCTAAAGTCACCCTTTTTTCTAGGTGTTCCAGCCCCTCGAGGTGAAGAGACTCAGCCCATTGGAGTTTTAGAGCGGCACCCGAAAAGAAAGCCTTATCCAGCCAACAGGGGGGACATCATACTTCCCTTTCCAATTTTCCCTAGTCAAATTAATGCTCCCCTTGGCGTGTGGTCTCTTCACCTTCGAGAACACATGAGCGGGAGAGAGGGCGCCAACAGTTGGACCCGAGGACGAGTTGCTCGACCCTAACATTGGAGCAATCCCTATACTGGAATGAACATCTTTCAACGCCCTTTTTGCTTTCGCCGTAAGGTTCCTGGCTATGCGTTCCTGGAAGGGATTCATGCTATCTGCAGAACAAACTATAAATCAAGGTTATAAAATGAGGACTTAAAAATTTCGACCATATATAATTATTCAAAACATAAAGCAAATACCCAAGTATTTAACAGGGTCCTTGCTCTCGAGGAGCTTCTTAACACCTATCAAGCCAGGCTCATACAAGATCTTCCAGTCTTTGTCCCTAATCTACTTTCCTCTTTGTCCCGCGCATTGAGTATGAGGGATTCCTGCGACAAAGGAGGTCAAAAGATCAAAGCTCCTATGCTCCTCGTCACCGAGCTGCCCCTCCTTCCACATATAAGTGCCCAACTTATTGTCAAAGTGCTTCCTGGTCCACTGGATGGGGAATTTGTGGACCAACTTGTTCTAATGGTCCCCTTTCTCGTTTAAAATAGGAGCCCCCTCCTCGTCATACGCCGGGTCAAGCCGGGATACATTCAACATATCCCTATTCGAGATGTGCTAAACGAGCATGTATTTATCATTGAAGAATCAGACAGACTCCAAATAAGCTTTGAAAAACTTCCCATTGGCTTGCTTCAAAGTGACCCATCCCTACTTGCCTTTGAGCTTTATCCTCTGAAGGTGAAAACAGTAAAAGAACAGAGGGATAGTGGCCCCTATCCACAAGTAATCACACAAAGATCTCGAATGTTTCCATAAAACCGATCCTGTTTGGGTGCAGCTGAGAGGGGACCAGTCAAAGATGCCTGAAAATGGCCACCTGGAAATATGAAAAAGGTAAACAGAGGCCCATCTCCTAAAACACTATATCATACATCAGGATCTATCATTTATCATATTACGAGCAGATCCAACCGCTCTCTCCAGGGACCCACGTCAACCAGTCTTCCGTGTCATTGTTACCAGTCGAGTATAAAGATACGTTGGTAAAAACATCGACCCAACGCTCGATAAAATATCACTCATGATCCCAAGGATCCTCCATGACCCACGTCCTCAGGTCTTCATCATCGTTAGGCGTAAATAGACCACTCTAATCAGCGAGGGCCATCTCAGCACGACATTAGGATCAGAGCAATTCGATTCCGACACGAACGCCTCTGAAGTTCTCGACGTGCTGTGGGTCTCGTCCGTGGAACTTTGAGAAAACCCAGCAAGTTACTCAAGGATGTCATCTCCGACATTATGGATCATAGTACCTAAAAACAGAGGATAGAGGTGAGTTTGACATAAATGCCAAAACCACCCTTCCACCACTGATGAAGTGAAAGGGCACTAATAAACGATGACCCTGACCCCGACCAGAACCCCCACTAAGGCATCTAAATGAAAAACCACTTTCCCCAACAAGGCGAACTCCAGTCAACAAAACGACCTAAATCCTCAAGGACCATCTACGACACATCGTGAAAAATCCCGGGAGGATCCACGGAAGATCCGGCGATTCTAAACTACAGAACTATCATCTGCCACCAACACTCCCCAAGAACGCCCTAACAGACAGGATCCTAAGCCTAACCGCATGCATTTCTAAGAGGAAAATCGTGAAATCTAAGCTACAACAGCTAAATAACAGGGAAAAACTAGGACCTCACCGATTAAAGAAGAAAGAAAGTTGAAAGGAACAACGGCAAGCGGAAAATCAGTAAGAAACCGCCGTGGTCGACGAAAGAGCAGCCCCGAGCAGTAATACTTAAGAACGAAAAAATGTTGAATCTGGCGCTCCTCTCCTATTTATAGTTGAGCTTGCCCACACATGAGAGACACCCGCCTAGAGAGCCCCAAGGTGATCATCATTACACCCTAGCCCTTCGGCTATCATTATGCCGCTATGTCAACACATCGCCCAAGACACGTTACCTCTTTGATTTTCGAAGCTCAAACAACCAATTGTTCATCTCCCAGCGAGAAAGGCACAACGGACGATGCACGTGCTCCCCGTAAGAGACGCCATCATTCCACAAGCAGGTGTTAAAGACATCACTCCTCTGCCCGGAAGCAATGACTTAGGGGGATACTATTCTGAACTGGACGAACAACTATAGTGGGCCCAATCTGACTTCCTCGTTTGACACGGCCTGTGCGACCACGACCCAGACTCCCCCGCCCTCTGTCGGGCACCATTGGTCGCTTGCTCTCTTGAACCAGCACTGCCTGCAACAGCTGACAAGTGCCTCTCAGTATGCCCGACCTCAAGTCACTCAGACAACCAGAAACCAACCATACCACTGCCTGTAACCTACCTCCTCTTGAAACTAACGTTTAGTTGCGGGCGCATCTTCCCGGTTTGACCTAGTCCTGGTAATTCCTATTTTCACGGACCCGAATATCTAGGCCCAAAAATAGGAACCAATGGCTACGCATCGGGGGAATTATATAAATCCTCACACTTGTGAGGGCCAGGTATCGAATATTCATTATTCATCTTCAAAACCCTAATACTTTGCTTGTAACTCTTTACTCCTACACTTACTTGATCGTCAGAGTGTCTTATAGGTACAACCCTCCTTCCTCCTCGACTTTCAAGCCCGTCTGAAGATCGTCATCCGACCACCTTGCAGGTTCTGATCAACCGGCAAGATCAGATGTCAAGACTGGTGTTCCAAAACCAAACACAATGTCAAGACAGATGTTAAGATATTTTTTCCTAATACAAAATACAGAAAATTAATTTGTTGAAGATAAATTAACACAGTTAATTGTTAATGCAGTTTGGTGCAATGTCACCTACACTGGGGACTACCATGCCATGAAAGAAATACACTATAATAGTATTAGTTCAAAGCCTATATAATCTCAATTTACAACTTATCACCTAATCACTACCCTATGCAATTTCTATCTAGGAGCCACCTAGATATGCGAATCCCAGTCACAAACCAGTGACTAGAACAAAAGAATCAAATAGAAGATTACACTTCAAATAAAAAACTCAACCCTTTGCTTAAAAGCTCATGAGTGAGAACAATACTTATTTTTTCTTAAAAGCTTTAAACTAATAACAGTCAGTCAACTTAATGTATCAAAAATACATGAGTGGCATACAAAAGAAAAAACACGAAAACTCTAAAAGACTCCTAAAACCCTAAACCCTTATCCACCCATGGTTTCTTTAATGTGAATGCTTGCTATTTTAGGTTTAACAAGTCCTTATTTATAGACTCTTACAAAATGGGTTTGGACTCTTCAAATCAAATCCAATATTCTAATTTAAATCAGTAGCAAAATCTTAAACAAAAATAGGAACTAATCTTCAAAGTTTCCTAAAAAGTCTCAAAGACCATGTTTAATGAAACTAAATCAAATCTGCAATGTTTATAATAAAATCTTCTTGACCTGCGAAATCAGTGAGATATATCCAATAAGATCTCACAAAATCAAATAAAATTTGTCAAGAAAAATAACAACAACATCTGCTCTACAATTGGCCAAGATGTCAAGACATCAAGCTTAACATCTGTCTGATATACATGATAGCAGAATCTGTCATGACAGTTGGTCAAGATGTTGTGAAATTTCGCTCAACATCAGTTAAGAACCATGTTTTAGCAAAATTAATTTCAATCATAAAATCATGGATCTAACACCAATAATAGACCAACTATGAACAATGCTTTTAGAGTTGATGCTCATATAATAATTTTGGACATAAGGAAGATTAAGACTACTAATTTTAGTGACTATGATATATTATTTTTATTTTTAATATTTATGTATTCTTCTATTGGCCAAATAACGAACACATACTTAAATAAACATTTGCACATAAGGAGAAGAATGTGAATGTGGTAACCCGAATTTGAACCTAAGAACCTATATAAAATCTTCTTACAATTAAATTCACTAACACAAAATGCCTATTAGAGAAATGTATTCACATAAGTTAATTCATCGCAAGTTTCTTAGTGGGAGAACCCTTTTCAAATTGTTTGCGATGGATTCATTTGTGATTCCACTTAACTCCTAGCAAATTCTAGGGGAAAAACGTCTTTCATATAGCTTTTTAAGCATTTCACAAGGGCTTGCCACTTCAAATTAGCATTTGTTTTGTAATGGTTCAATCCAGTCCACCCAATCTTGTTTCTGATTTATCGTTATATCATTAAAAAATTGTTACTATAGTTTGTGTCATGGACTGGACTAGATTCAATCAACTAAAGCAACATTTCATCACAAACCATCATATAGAGACTCACCCGAAGTGAAATTTAGAGATAAATATATAAAATGGAAAATAAAGATGAAATCACGATGTTATAACATCATAGAATAAGCATATTATTCATTATCATCATTGTGAATCGTGCAGAATTTCAAACCCTAACTTCATACCAGAACAAAAAACAAATTGAAAATTGGATAAAACAAAACATTATTTGTGACAGTGATTGAGAAACTACTAGAGTTGTGTAAAATTTAAGAACTTGGTTTCAAAGTGTTTCCAATGTCAATTACAAATCGATATTTGACATCTCCTTTGAGGAGCCGCTCAAATGCGGAGTTAACATAATCCACAGGAACAATTTCAACGTCGGGTTTCACATTGTGTTTAGCAGCAAAATCAACCATCTCTTGAGTTTCCTTCAACCCTCCAATCGCACTTCCACCAACCAACTTTCTCCCTGCCAACAATGTTACCATCATCAAAACGTTTTCACGAGTTCTAAGACGAAATTAATTTTCATATACATGCTAGCTTACCCAAAAGTAAAGGAAAAATAGGAATTTCCAAAGGTTTATCGGGTGCACCAACCATTATGAGTTTTCCATGAGACTTCAGTAATCCAATCAGTGGTACGACAGGATGATTAGCCGAAACTGTATCAATGATACCATCTAAAGTACCCGTTGCAGCCTATAAAATAGTTACCATAATTAGTTACTTAAATTTTTAATTACCATAGCGAATTTTTTAATCTCATGTAGTTTGAATCTATACCTGCAACTTTTCGTGGTCTCGACTTATCAGAAATGAGTCAGCTCCCAAGTGTTCTAATGCTTCCTTTTCCTTGCTAGGAGATGTACTAATTACAGTCACATTAGCACCAAAAGCTTTCGCGAATTTAACAGCCATGTGACCAAGCCCACCAAGCCCAACAACACCTATTTTCAGGCCAGGTTTGTCGAGTCCGTAATATCTAAGAGGACTATAGACAGTGATACCAGCACAAAGGAGAGGTGCAGCAGAATCAAGAGGTAGTTCATCAGGAATACGAACCACGAAGCGCTCGTCTGCAACCATTGAGTCGGAGTAGCCACCGGGTGAGGTTGCACCACTTGTGGGAGTGTATTTAGGGCAGTAATTCTCAAGGTTTTTCTCACAGTTTTCACAAGCTCGGCATGAATCAACCACAAAGCCCACGCCCACTTTGTCTCCAACTTTGAACTTTTCTACTTTGCTTCCCACCTTTGTCACAATACCAACAATCTCATGCCTGTATTTTGGTATATAAAAGCAGGTGTTAATACGTTATTTACTGTTTTTATGCTGAGAAAAATAATCACAAATGAAAAGCAGTTAAGAGTTAAGGATTAGAAATTTTCAGAATCAAAATATAAAAGTATTAATCATTGTAAAAAATACTCTATAATTACAAAAAGATTGTTTTATAGCGAAAATGGAATCAATTTGTATAGTGCAAAGTCGTATAATTCACATAACAATAACCATAATCTACATCGCATCATCACACATATCTATTGTTGATATCGTTATTCGCTGTTTTAATATAGAAAAAATAACACATAAAAGGTTGTTACTACGTGACAAAACATTATTCCGTTATGATTGCATAATGTTATATCACTGATTCAAAAGCAGAATTTTTAAATCAAAATGTGAAAGTAAAAATCTTCGAAAAAATATTCATTATAACCTCAAAATTCTAGACTAAAATTTTGTTTCATAGTGAAAATGAATTCAAATTATTATATGAAATATTGTGATTAATTCACTGCGATCATCATCTTACGAGGAAATTGAAAGCCTTTATTCGACCGCAACCGAGGATACTTATTTAATAATTTGATTAAGAGAAGTGATTTAAACTAAAACCTACCCAGGAACAAGTGGATAGGAGGTCATGCCCCATTCATTTTTTGCCATATGGAGATCTGTGTGACATATCCCACAATACAGCACCTTGAATGCCACATCCTTATCATTTGTTTCCCTGAAGAATAATAATAACATTAGGTAATGAAAAATATGTATGGAACATAAAGAGGTGAATGAATGAAAAAAACCTTCTGGAAAAACTGAAAGGAGAAAGAACACCAGAAGTATCTTTAGCTGCCCAACCGAAGGCCTTGTTTGCCATTGTTAACGAAATAGAAGTGAATAATCTTTGCTTAACAATGAAAATATATTTAATTGTACATATGTTTGAGATCTATAAGGAGCTATTTATAATGAACATCTCTTGTTTTATTCTTGTATTCACGTATCATGTGACGTTATGTATTTAGAGTTTTTCTTTTTTGGCATATTTTATTATGTTTTTGTTTCTCTCAAATAAATTCTCAAAAATAGTTAACATTAAATTTGAAAGATTCTCTCTTTTTCTTCTTTTTTTTCCTTCACTTACATATTCAATACAGAATAATGGTTTTTCTATTTTTCTTATTTTTCCATTCACATACATATTTCTAAAAATAATAAAGATTTTTAAAAAAAAAAGTTAATTTAAAATAATGATTTTTTCTATTTTCTTCTTTTTTCCTTGTCATACATATTCCAATGATTTTTCTCATTTCTTCATTTTTCTTTTCTATACAAAATTTCAAAAAATAAGAATTTTTTTTTTACTTTTTTACTTCTTTTAAAAATATATATAAATAATAATAATTGTTTATTTCTTTTTTTTTAGATAAAGGTAAAATGAATTAAAAAAAGATTGATACACAAAAAAGTGGAGGAGTAAAGTCAAAAATCACTCAAAAGTATCTAAATTGAAAGAGAAGCAATCCTAGCCTACTCTTTACATAATCACCTCTAATTCCAATAGGTAAAAAATCAAAAAGAGTTAAGGCATTAGCCGTGCAGTGTCATACATCATTTCTTACCCCTAATATGTTTTATTCATAACTTCATATGCATTTGCATCATAAATCTTTTATTCATTTGAACTCTTGAGGCATGGGGTCAAAGGACTCTTGGCATTAAGGGTTTTCCTTATAGATTGAGGTCGTTAACTTTATCAAGTTGATTCAACTGGTTCTCTCATCACTTTTGGTATGAAACTAGGGTTTTGAGTCACAAACATCTTGGACATCTTCCTTGGCAATATTTCTCAAGATACAAGGTCATCTTCATCAAATTTTCTTCAAGACCCAGGATTTGGGTTTCAACTAAGTTTGCTTACATCAGGGTCGTCTCTCCATCATCATGAGGTTTCTCTTTAACGATAAGGGTTTTGAGCAAGTTCAGCATATGGTGTGCTTTATGCTATCTCCAACATCATTTCCTCATTTTTCTCAAGTTGATCTTCATCCAAAGGTGTTGTACCCCAAAATTTGCCCTCCCATATTCTCCAAGAAATTGCCAAGTCAAGCTGCAAAATTCCCCAAGGGTTGCACAGTGCAAAGGTCTCCTATACAGTCAAAACTAGGGTTTGTGTAGTGATCAAGAAGATGAAGTTTTCAAAGGCCCAATAAAGTCTCATATGCCTACAAATATGGTCAAGTATCCTCATATCAAGTTTCAAGGCATTCAGTACAAAATTGCACAGTCAAAAACCCTAATTGCACTACAGTCAACTGTAGGGGCAAAATGGTCATTTGGCAGTCAAAAGTTCAAATTTTTGGTCAACATATCATTTTGAAGCCACAAACATCATTTGATCAATGCTTGATCATGATTCTCAAAATTTGGCTCAAGAATCATCAAATTGCAAAAGTTTCCTTATTTGGACAGCTGAAAAAGTCAACTGAAATTGACCAGGGCATAACTTTCACATGGATTATCAGGAAAATTCCATCCAAATCTCATTTTGAAGAGAAAGACATTTCCTACAACCCATCTTCATACTTCAAGTCCAAGAAATGCTCTCACAAAAAGTTATCAATTTCAACATTATAGGTCATTTTCAAAAGTCAACAAAAAGGGACTTTAAGTCAAAGGCCATAACTTGAGATTGGTAAATCAAAATGACATGGGACCAAAGGCATTGGTTAGAGGACTCAAAGACCTTTCCAAAATGTCCAAGAACATGAGAAAAGCTTAAATATTGAGCAAGTTATGCCTTGTGGAAGTTGGGAAATTTTTGGATATTTTGAAAAGTCAACATTACTTCAAATGACCTAAAATTGCTAATGGGCCCATTTTTCTTCCACAAATCATCATCCATGACATGTGCACGACCACTTGGCCCAAAGGGAAGTATTTTCTCATTTTTTATGTATTTATTTGAATTTTTTATTTATATTAATTCATTTAAATATATGAAAAATATCTAACTTAACCTAATCAATCTTTTTATACATGTTTTAGACTCAATATTTCGTGCCTAATCAAATAGGGAAAGATTTGGAGCAAATTGATCATAATTGACACAAGAACACATGGAAAAGATATGAAAAGGATCTTAAGAAATCAAATTTTCCAAAACAATGAATGCCATGGATTTGATTGGTTTTTGTTAACCTAATGGACTCAGTACAAATGCTAGAACACAACCCTAATCACAATAGACAAAAAGCTGCGCAAGAGAGCTCTCCAAAAACTTGAAATTTTTCTCCATAAACTCAATTCTGAAAACAAGGTTAGAGGGCGATTAAAGACCTAATTTTCATTCCAATAGCTTCCTCAAGGATTACTGATCACATTCCAATCAGAAACATCCATTCAGACTCCAAGAATTGGTAACATGAACGCAAGCTGTGTCAAGAAAATTCCATAATCGTATATCATATTCCATGCATTCTTTGTGAAATTTAATTGTGGATTTATATTCCTCATGATATTCTGATGCTAACCAACATAATTAATTGCGTTTTTGTGCTGTATACTCGATTTCACCATTGTTGATATTTAGGGTTTACAGAGCTTCAAAATAGGGCTTTTGTAATGGGAAAAATTAGCCCACGAAACCATGACCATTCAACTCAGGATGCTCTGACGGTCATAAGGGAACCCTCGCGATCAATTTATGAACCTTATAGCGCTATTCGCTATTTTCTCTAAAGCCACCTAATGGAACGCGTCTAAAACCGTTGCTCTATACTCTTGTTTCAGAAAAAAAAATAAAACACGCGAGGAAGATGATGTGTTGGCTAACGTTGGTTGGTTCTTTTAAATTTCGCGCGCTTTGATCCACTAACGCGTTGCTTTCTTTTATATTATTTATTTGTTATTTATATATCAAACGCGTTGACATGGCTCAGTGGCACAGGTGTTGATTGGTGATGCTAGAGACCTGGGTTCGAACCCCAGGTCTATGTTCTTTCAATATTATTTTTCAATCCATCATCACATGCAGGCACCATACTGAGAACCATCATAGTCCTTCAACATCTATCCACCCACGTGTACACTGAGATCAAGCCAAGGGCGGAGATTGGGAGAGCACCATAAACTCAGGTCAACGCTTCAGCATGCTAGCAAAAAAGTCCAAACAGGCCAATGCTATTGGGCCAGAATTGCTTGGACTTAACCTCCTGTTTGGGGACTTCCACCCCCCCTGGTTTGCCATTTTCTATTTTTCTTATATTTTATTTAAAATTGTTATTTTATTTTCTTTATTGTTTTGACTTAATTAATTATTTTTACCAAATATAAAAAATACCTAAAAATCAGAAAAGACAAAAAATATAATAAATACTTTATTTTTATTTTTATAAACAAATTGCATGTAAGTAAATTAATTTAAATTAGGGTTTTAATGTTAATTCTTTTAATAACAAAAATACAAAAAATGTAGAAATAGGTTTAATAATTGTTTTATTCCTTTTAATTTTTCTTTTTCACAATAATGTTATTTATTTTATTTATTTTCATAATTAAAATTGTAAATAAAAAATTTTAGGTTTAATTTAGGTTAAATTTTAAACGTCTTCTTAATAAATTAAAAATAATTAGAATTAGGGTTTGCATCTCATTTAAATTTTAATTAATTCTTTCCTTATTTTGATTAATTTTAATTCCTCGTTAATTTTAATTTTTTGCAAAAGGGTCCAACGCCCTCGTTCGTTTAATTGTTTAATTTCGCGTATTTATTTTATTTCGCTCAAATAATTATGTATCTCTCCCAAGGCCTTGTAATTACTTCTCGCACTTTTAATTCTTTACTTTTCTGTCAAATCGGGTCCTGGTTAATTTTGGCGATGTGGACCCGCGCCATTTGTAATAGCTTAGAATTTACTTTTCCTCGCAATTTTTAAACTGTTAAACAAAGCATGCAAGAATGAATGGCCATAATAAAAACAAGCGTAGAACACCAATGAACATGACAAGACAAAAATAACTGAAAACGACACACGAATCGCACACACCACCCCTAGGGTACGCTTCACTGTTGCCTTGCCTCTCGAAAGGTGATCGTCGAGTAGAGGATGTCTTAGTAAGTCCTCATGATCCGGGAACCTGGCATGAGGGTAGCTTCTAAGGTGTCTTCCCATTGCTCTGGTGATCACCATGTCCCGAACCTCGAATTGACCCGAACACCTCCAACGGTGGTGCTACCTACCTCTCAATGGTGGGATGGCACTACTTTAAAGGACATTTACACAGACGAATTCCTTAGGGTAGGTAGACGACTCTAGATACTTGCTCTAAATTTCAAAACAAATCAAAAATACTTTTCACACCGACACCTTTTCAAAAAGCTTTCGAAAGCAATTTTTCAAACACTCTTGAGGACCGATACAAGAGTCGAACTGGAATTTTCAAAGAAACCTTTTTTAAAACCCACATTGAAAAGCAAACAAACCATTTTTGAAAACACAAATGAGCAAGTATCTAAGAGCCCATGGATAACCATGGATAGAAAGGGTGCTAATACCTTCCCTTTCTATAATCTACCTCCCGAACCGAGAGCAATCTCTTTAAGGTATTTTTCTGTGCTTTTGTCCTTTCCATTTGGAGAAAATAAAAGACGGTGGCGACTCTTGCTTCCGCGACATTTCGCGAACCAGCGTTAAACAGTCAGTTCCAGATCCACCGATCACAGAACTGGCGACTCTGCTGGGGATTTATTTATAAAGTGGGGTGTACCTTAGGATTAAGATCCCTGTGTTTTCAATTGTCTTCTTTGCTTGCTTTATTATTGTGGGACTTGCTTGGGAGTTCTATAGATCCTAAACCCGGATCTGGGGAATACCT